AAAGCAAACTAATTAATATAGCTTACAAAAATAAATACATTTGCGTACATCTTCATGAATGTCATGATGCCGTATTCAAAGTCAGTTGTACTTATTTAGAATATTCGATATTCCCATTTGTTTTTCTCTTACACTTTCCTGAGCACAGTATATTAAGTGTAAAATTCAAGGTATGTGAGAAGTGCTCAGCGCGCTCACAGCTCTGCAGTGTGGTTATATTGTGCCATTAACTACATTGTAACCAAACTACGCATGAATGAATCATCCTGCGGAAAACACATGTCAACTTCAATTACAAGTATGGTTTACCTTGCAAAACAAATGCGCCTCAGACAGTGTAAACAATGTGAAATCTAAAGAATGATTTTTTGCAGAAAACTCGCGCTTCATTGCGCGTAAATCAACTGTCCTGCTCCTTTTGAGACGTGATCTTGACACACGCTTTATTGGGAAGCGCTCACGTGCTTCACGTTTATAGAAAGGTTAAAAACGTCATCTCTAGGCTATTCAAAATGGGCTGGGGGCTCTTTTGTCCGTTTCCCTCCTAAAATCACTGAAGACCGTACAGCCCCTCCCATAAACCCCCTGCACACCCCGCGCGCGTTCGGGCTTCACCAATCAGAGCGCAGCGAGGTCCAGATAAAAGCAGCGGCCGCGCTCCCGTCTTCTCAGTGTCCTGATCCCGATCAGAAACATGCCTGAACCCGCCAAGTCCGCGCCCAAGAAGGGCTCCAAGAAAGCCGTGACCAAGACCGCCGGGAAAGGCGGCAAGAAGAAGAGAAAGACCAGGAAGGAGAGCTACGCCATCTACGTGTACAAGGTGCTCAAGCAGGTCCACCCCGACACCGGCATCTCCTCCAAGGCCATGAGCATCATGAACTCTTTCGTCAACGACATCTTTGAGCGCATCGGCGGGAGAGGCCTCCCGCCTGGCGCACTACAACAAGCGCTCCACCATCACCTCCAGGGAGATCCAGACCGCCGTGCGTCTCCTGCTGCCCGGAGAGCTGGCCAAGCACGCCGTGTCCGAGGGCACCAAGGCCGTCACCAAGTACACCAGCTCCAAGTAAACTGCTCCAACACAATATACACACACAACGGCTCTTTTAAGAGCCACACATTCTACTAAAGAGCTCCTCTGTTCTGTGTTCATGTCTTTAACTCTCCCTGAAGTCCTGTGTGCTTCTGGACATGTATATAACTCATTGAGCGCTCTACTACAGAGCTCTTTAAAGTCAAATGTAGAGTTTCAGCATAATTGCTCTAAAATACAGAGCGTCCTGCACACTACCTTTAAGAAAATGGCATTGTTATTTGAAACACATTTAGACCCTAAACATATATATTATATACGAACAATTGCTGATGAAGTTATTTCTAAAATAACTGTTTTTACCTAAGACGTTTTGAAAAATCCTCTTAACACAAAAGTTTGTTTTTTTCCATTGATTCATTTCATTCATTTGAGTAACTGTCTACATCTCCAAAAGCTAAAAATGCTGTTCCACCTAGTGGAAGTTTTCAAATTAACAGCTGCCTACACCATAAGTCATCACAATGGCGCTTATAAATATACAATTTCAAACACTTATAATAGGAATCTTATTTTCTGTTATTTAGTGTTCTAAACTCAAGTCAAGGCAGGAAAACTGACAGTCCCACATCGATGCCTCGTGTTCAAGAGCCTCTGCGTCAGGGGAAGTCGCTCACCGGAGTGCTGAAATGGCTGCCACGGTTTACTGAGGTTACGCCTTATGAAAAAGTGAAGTCTACTTTTTCTTCAGAAAGTATAACGTAACAGTATCCTCACCAGCCCTACAGTGTGTGTGACTAAACCCTAGGATTTTGTTGGTTGTGCTACGCTCTGTCACAACATGTACAAAAAAGCGGCTCTTTCTCACGTGTGGTGGCTCTTAAAAGAGCCGTTGTGTTGTGGGGTCAAAGCAGACGCTTTAAGCCCTCTCTCCGCGGATACGCCGGGCCAGCTGGATGTCTTTGGGCATGATGGTGACCCTCTTGGCGTGGATGGCGCACAGGTTGGTATCCTCGAACAGTCCCACCAGGTAGGCCTCACTGGCCTCCTGCAGAGCCATGACGGCGGAGCTCTGGAAGCGCGCAGGTCGGTCTTGAAGTCCTGGGCGATCTCCCTGACCAGGCGCTGGAAGGGCAGCTTGCGGATGAGCAGCTCGGTGGATTTCTGGTAACGGCGGATCTCCCTCAGAGCCACGGTCCCGGGCCTGTAACGGTGAGGCTTCTTGACGCCTCCGGTGGCCGGGGCGCTCTTACGCGCGGCCTTTGTGGCCAGCTGCTTCCTGGGGGCTTTGCCTCCGGTGGATTTACGCGCGGTCTGCTTGGTTCTGGCCATGTTTTTAGTGTCCTTTCTACGAACAGAGAAAAGGAAGTGCAGAGAAAAGCGGCACACGAGCCGTTTTTAAACGGTCAGCCTCACGCGCACACTGCCTCGGGCTCTGTGATTGGTCTGCGTCATACTCTGACGCAGAGCGCCGCCCACAGAGACGCATCAGAAACGCTTTCTATTGGAGCTAGTGGTTTTGAAGTGAGTAAGAGAAGCTGAGCAGGACGGATGTGGAGGGGGCGAGGCTTTCGCTCCACGGCAGGAAATGAAGCAGTAGGACACACGCACACACACGCACACGGTCCTCACGTTCCTCTGAACTGTGGCTCCCTCCTGTGTGAACGGTGTGGACTTTGAGCTGCAGCCTTAGATTGGGTCTAAAATATGCGCGGAGTCGCTGCTGTTGGATCGGACCACACTGCACGCGGATTTTGGCCAGCGTCAGAACAGCAACTTTTGTACGTGTAATTTTTTAGAATGCATTCAAAGTGAATGAGGTAGAGTTCATAAACAGAGCCAGTGCCCTCTCCCACCACGAGAAAACACTCATGTTACTTTGATGTAAGACAAGTGTACATGGTTTTGAATCCGTTCCCATATGGTTATTTGCCATGGTCTGAAACAATTATAAAGTGTGCTCTTTTCTGAGAGTTTTGTGGCTCTTAAAAGAGCCGTTGTTGTGAGTCGAGTCTCGGGGCGTCTTTACTTGGCCTTCTCGGTCTTCTTGGGAAGCAGCACAGCCTGGATGTTGGGCAGCACGCCTCCCTGAGCGATGGTCACTCCTCCCAGCAGTTTGTTGAGCTCCTCGTCGTTGCGGACGGCCAGCTGCAGGTGGCGGGGGATGATGCGGGTTTTCTTGTTGTCACGAGCCGCGTTTCCCGCCAGCTCCAGGATCTCAGCGGTCAGATACTCGAGCACGGCCGCCAGGTACACGGGAGCTCCGGCGCCGACGCGCTCCGCGTAGTTGCCTTTACGGAGCAGCCTGTGCACACGGCCCACTGGGAACTGCAGCCCGGCCCTGGAGGAGCGGGACTTGGCCTTGGCGCGGGCCTTTCCTCCGGTTTTGCCTCTTCCGCTCATGATTACACTTTGACTCAGTGAAGTGGTGAGAGAATGAACCTACACAGACAGAGCGCAGCGTATTTATGTGCGGGAGCGCGTGCGTTTCAGCGCCGCACCAATGAGCGGCCGCGTTCAGACAAGAGGAGGAGCTCTGACTTGAACAGGAGCCTCATGTGGGACTAACACTATGTGAAGTGAAACTGCAAACATCCACCGACTAAAGGGACAATTACCAATCATCATCATCATTATTATTATATTATATTAATTTATATGAATAATTATTATACAGACTCAATGAAAAGAGCTTTTTATAACAGAGACAACTGCATTAATAAATCCATGTCTTGTTACTGGATTTTCATCAGTATTACACTGACTTTTCAAATCGAGGACTAAATAATAAAACATTAAAATAATCATTCACTGCAGCAGCAAAGTGAAATGAGATCATGAAACTAAACAAAAGTGCTTGTGATTTCACTTTGTGATCAGTTCCAGATGAAATACGCTTTTGACCACATCACACTCCATAGGCCCACACAAGAGTCTACATGAGGTCCTACATCAGGTCCTACATGAAGTTTACAGACTTCAGGCCCTCTGTGCTCCTGCTTTTTTTAATTATTATTATTATATTAAATGGTAGAATACCCTGTTTTAATCTTTAACCCTTCTTGGGTTGTAAACTACCCTGGGACAGGAGCCTACAGGTTGTTTTTTTCCATAGTTAAACCTGCTGAAAAAGGCTGTGATGCCATATTTGCTGTAGAAATAGTGTGATCCTGACAACAGGCTACATATTGTCCATTGACACACTGCCATTATTAGTCCAGTTCCTTATTCTCATTTTTTGACCTTAGTGGGAATTTTTTGGGGATTTGCTAACCTATATATTTTTGGAAAGGTTATAGTTTATGGAGTCAGAAAATCAATGTTTGTATTTGCCCACATGTCTTTATGGTGGCCATATTGGATTTTTAAAAAATGGCCGCCAAAAATCACTTTTTGGAATATCTCAGCCTCTGAATAAGTTGAAATGTTGATTTTAACTGCTAAACCCACATTTTCAGGGTCAGGGAATCAAATGGTGCTAGTTACAAACCTGTAAGACCTACCCACATTAACCCTTAGATGCATAAGTTGGTCAAAAATGACCCGGTTTGGTTGTTTTCTTGCAATTTCATTGTGACATTTGCATGTAATACTCCATGTTCCTCCAAAAACATGTTTTTTTTAATTATCCTGTTGAAATACTTAAACAATATGGGTAAAACAAACTATAAACATCACATACAGTTGGTCAGATAACTCAAAGAGTTTAAAAGTAGCTAACATTAAATATGTGTGTTGGATGTCAACAAACACATTTAGACACAATATGATTACTCAACCTTTTTATTGGACATTTTCTATACATCATCATTTTCATGCAACCATAGACTGTATATATGTACATAGACTGTATATATGAGTGGACAGATCTAACGCTGTAGCCGCCGTGTGCCAAACAGGAAGTTCTCCAGGAGGCTCTTCCAGCTCCTTCTGACTGACTGACTTTAGGATCTTGTGGCTCCTCTCTGTACCTACTGCTGCGAATCTCGACATTTTAGTCATAAAATGTTTATATGAACCCGCTCTACATGATTCAGAATTATTTTTGTCTTTCTAGTTTGTCCAAAAAATGACTATGACACGGAGACGAGTCAGACGCTCCACCACAAAAAGTTATCTAACATACATGTCCAGAAGCACACAGGACTTCAGGGAGAGTTAAAGACATGAACACAGACAGAACAGAGGAGCTCTTTAGTAGAATGTGTGGCTCTTAAAAGAGCCGTTGTGTGTGTATATTGTGTTGGAGCAGTTTACTTGGAGCTGGTGTACTTGGTGACGGCCTTGGTGCCCTCGGACACGGCGTGCTTGGCCAGCTCTCCGGGCAGCAGGAGACGCACGGCGGTCTGGATCTCCCTGGAGGTGATGGTGGAGCGCTTGTTGTAGTGCGCCAGGCGGGAGGCCTCCCCGCCGATGCGCTCAAAGATGTCGTTGACGAAAGAGTTCATGATGCTCATGGCCTTGGAGGAGATGCCGGTGTCGGGGTGGACCTGCTTGAGCACCTTGTACACGTAGATGGCGTAGCTCTCCTTCCTGGTCTTTCTCTTCTTCTTGCCGCCTTTCCCGGCGGTCTTGGTCACGGCTTTCTTGGAGCCCTTCTTGGGCGCGGACTTGGCGGGTTCAGGCATGTTTCTGATCGGGATCAGGACACTGAGAAGACGGGAGCGCGGCCGCTGCTTTTATCTGGACCTCGCTGCGCTCTGATTGGTGAAGCCCGAACGCGCGCGGGGTGTGCAGGGGGTTTATGGGAGGGGCTGTACGGTCTTCAGTGATTTTAGGAGGGAAACGGACAAAAGAGCCCCCAGCCCATTTTGAATAGCCTAGAGATGACGTTTTTAACCTTTCTATAAACGTGAAGCACGTGAGCGCTTCCCAATAAAGCGTGTGTCAAGATCACGTCTCAAAAGGAGCAGGACAGTTGATTTACGCGCAATGAAGCGCGAGTTTTCTGCAAAAAATCATTCTTTAGATTTCACATTGTTTACACTGTCTGAGGCGCATTTGTTTTGCAAGGTAAACCATACTTGTAATTGAAGTTGACATGTGTTTTCCGCAGGATGATTCATTCATGCGTAGTTTGGTTACAATGTAGTTAATGGCACAATATAACCACACTGCAGAGCTGTGAGCGCGCTGAGCACTTCTCACATACCTTGAATTTTACACTTAATATACTGTGCTCAGGAAAGTGTAAGAGAAAAACAAATGGGAATATCGAATATTCTAAATAAGTACAACTGACTTTGAATACGGCATCATGACATTCATGAAGATGTACGCAAATGTATTTATTTTTGTAAGCTATATTAATTAGTTTGCTTTCTAAGAGAGGAGCTCTTGAAAATGTGTGTGTGGCCCTGAAAAGGGCCGTTGTGTGTCACCAGGAGAAGTAGAGTTTAACCTCCGAAGCCGTACAGAGTGCGGCCCTGTCTCTTCAGGGCGTACACCACGTCCATGGCGGTCACGGTCTTCCTCTTGGCGTGCTCGGTGTACGTGACGGCCGTCACGGATCACGTTCTCCAGGAAAACCTTGAGCACACCGCGAGTCTCCTCGTAGATCAGACCGGAGATACGCTTGACACCGCCGCGACGAGCCAGACGGCGGATAGCGGGCTTGGTGATGCCCTGGATGTTATCACGGAGAACTTTACGGTGACGCTTGGCGCCTCCTTTCCCCAGACCTTTACCTCCCTTTCCTCTGCCAGACATGTTCACTTCTGAGTCAGTTGAACCAAAAGATGACTAGACTCTCCGAGCGCACAGTCTTTATTCACTGACAGAGGACGTGACAGAGAACACAGGCTCTCTGGCGCCATCATCTGGACAGTATGTGCACTGAAAAAGGATACTTTCAAATAAAATTAAGTCAACTCACATTTTCCCGCTATTTTCATTTATATTCAGCAAATATGAATAAAATATTTTAACGTTCACTCTTTGGTGAGATAAGAGTGTCCGTGCTGTTCTAGACTCTTCTCTTTGCTGCCTGTTATTTTTTGTGTGTCAAGTTTTGAAACATTTGTCTTCATGTTGCTCGTACTGAATGAATGCTGCAACATTATGACACAGGGGAGTGGGATTAATTTAGTCGTTCTTTATGTTCCTTGTTTCATTCGTGTCAATTCCCTCTCCACACCACATATTCCTCTACAAGACAAAGGTTT